AGAGAGAGAGAGAGAGAGAGAGAGAAAGAGGAGAGATATGATAAAAGCGTCTGAAACTATTTCTGGAGCGTCGCGACGAAAAACCACGAAATACCCTGACCTGCTTCGTCGCGTGTGCCACGTGCGAATTTTCCTCAAATGCAATCGCAACAACGCGAATTATTTTTACAGAACTTGCTTTCGCATCAGCGCCGCGACGTTTGAAGAAAACATGCACAACGATATACACGAGCGCAATTTAGATAATGGAAAACACAGATCGCCGCTCTTGCGTCACGGGATTAACCTTCGCTTGCGACACGCGGCCGCGTTGCGAATGATCGAGCTGCCTCTTCTTCAATTCTATCCGATTATAAATAAAACGAACGATTGAGATATAAGACGCGGCGTGATAAAGATGTACGCTTTCGTAACGTCCTCATTGTTCGACCCGTGCTACCATCTGAAGGATGGTCTAGACGAAAGACACGCGAGTCTGTTAGGTGACTGTCCGTTTCTACTGCGCGCGGTTTGGTCGGTATTAGAGTAGAGCGTCTGACCACGACTGTACGTTTCTACTGCGATATATATATCTAATCGTGCACAGTATTGATGTTATTAAGTTTTATTTTTATTTAAATGATTGCTCAAATATAAAGCTACGTATCGAGTCACGTCATTGTTCAGTGAAAAAGGATGATCTGAATTAGAGACACGTTCGCTAGGCGACTGCCCGCCGTTTAGTCTGTATTCCAGTAGAGCGCGACGCGTCTGGCCACGAGTGTTAGTTTCTACTGCAGCATAAAGCGTTTAATCGTGTACAATATTGAATGTTATTTAAGTTAACGTTTACTTAAATGATTGTTTAAATACAAAATAGAGGCATTTATCGAGTAGTATAGATCAGAGACACGTCTGACGGGCGACTGTCTGTTTCTACTAAGCAGTATGTGCTTAATTGTATTAGGGGTTGTTCAATTGTTTGATAACTAGTTTAATTGAAAGTTTCATTTTTACTGTCATTTGACGAAAAATAATGGCCCGACTATGCCTGTCTGTACGTGTTAGGAATTCTTTTATTTTAATGATGAGAATTTAAATAGAATATAGAAATAATTATTTGAACAGATATAAGTAAATTAATTGAAACAACAAAATTAATTGTTGTCTACAAGTGTAATTAATTTAACGGAATTTAAAATATACTATGCATGTATTACAACACACGTAATATGAAAAAAATATGTAAAATATCCAAAGTATAATGCTTCTTATAATAATCGATCAATATTTTGGATTCTTATTGGACAAGGAAAATTCATGATCTAGAATTAAGGAAAGATTGTATATAGTTAGGGATAAAAGATCTTACTAAATTTCTTTTTTACAAATGATCAAAGTAAATAATTTCAGCGAAATTATTCTTGTTATTTTCCAATGAAGTTATTCTTATTAATGTTCAATTCATCAAAAAAAAAAAAAATATTATGGTCGAACCTACAAGGTTTCTTCACTTGGAAATCACTATTGTAAGTGAAGCTCTATGTTCTAGGACTTGAGAAATTCGTCGAGAAATGAAACGACAAGAAATTACTCTTACTCACCAAATTGATGGTGACAATGAGATCGTACTGCTGCCTCTGTCCCTTCTTTTTGTTCTTGCCAGTCTTGACGGAAGCGGCTTTAGGCGTGACCTTCACCTGTCCCTTCTGAGCACTGGGTTTCTGAGCTGGTTTCGCTGCACCTTTCGCACCAGGCGCCACCTTCTGTCCGGCGGTCAGCGGCGCTTTCTGACCTGTCGAGCCCTTCTGATTCACATGGCCTACTCCATCTGCCGGTTTGTTGCGAGCCTGTCATCGAAAATAAAAAGAAGAAACATAGCCGTTAGGTTCGTTCGTGATCGATAAGAAAAAAATAAAAAATGTATATATATATATATATACGGTCTGCCGCGCTTTCCTTGCCAGGTAAATGAATCAGTGGAATTTCCAGCATCGTTCGAATTGTTTTTCTTTCTTTTCTCTCTCTCTCTCTCTCTCTCTCTCTCTCTGTCTGTCTCTATTGGTACGAATGGACGCGAATGAAATTAGCAGCGGGAACGAAGTCATGTTGAAAGCTTCTCTTTCTTCTTTTTTTCCCTCAGGTTGCCTCGGCTTCGCAATTCGGGGAAATTTCGCCTCCTCGCGTTTATCTAATTTCTCCGGCGAGTTTTAATTACTCGGACGTGTGAACAACTCTCACATCGATTTTCAACCGGACTGCAATCGAGAACAATTGCGAGAATGTTCCGTGAAATGTGAAAATTCCCTCGTTGTCGCGTCCTCGACGGTACGTGCAGTACACGCGCGAAGTCTTCAAATATTTAAAATAGAAAAAGAAGCGTTCGCTTTAATTAGTTTGTTGGAATTTTAATTAATTCGTCGGTCATAATTAACCCTTTGCAACGTGAGGTCACCTCCGGCCTCTGGATGAAACTATCTCTCCCTAGAACTCTGGAGTCACCTTTGACGCGACGCTTCACGCAGTTGCTAAAAGCAGATTAGTTCAAAAATTGAATCAAAGTTCGGGAACAAACTAGGAAAATAGTTGCAGTGCAAAGGATTAAACGTTTCTAAAATATTAACGATGTTTCTTACGTTTGTTAATAAACAGACTCGAATTTTGTTCGACGTTATCCATCATTTCTCACATTCTCAAGTGTATCGTTGGAATTTCATTTTTGTACAATTAATGTACAATTTTTTTTTTTTAATAAAGGATGCATGAATTTATAATAACGAATGAAATATCGATTACATTTTGCTCGACTTGTTCTAAACTTTTTATCTAACGAGTATCATTTAACACCGGTCTCAGTCATTAAATTCCGAATAACTTTCACGTGTCTGTGAAATCGTTCGTTTCACGCGCAACAATTCTCTCCATAGGAGAATGAAAATTCGCGAGGACTGCGACTGGTGGGACGTTCTTGAAGAAGGTCGTTAGCGATTGTCGTTTACTCACGGAGAAAGTTCCCGCGAAATTTACGAGCCCCGCAAGGATGTAGACAAAGTGAGCATTAGGAATTGCAAAATAATGTTGTTTACCGAGCGTAGCTCAGCTATTACAGCCAAAAGCGAAACTGGGTCATCACCGTTTACGGATCTCTTTTGTCCTGTTCACAAAGTTATCTTTCCAATGTCCTGCATCCCCTTATCTACCTTTTGCGATCAAGTCTACGTGTCGACTGCCCGTATGGTCACACTTTTAACGTCATTCAATTGAAAAATATATTTTTCCTCTTCCAGATAGAGTTTCGCTCGCGAGAAGCGATCACTGAAATTTGCATATCCGTCAAAGTTAGATTGTGTGTCAGGTTGCAGAGAGTTTCTCGAATTATTGATCGAGAAGCGATATTAGATTCAAGAGGAGGGTCTCAGTTTAGAGAGACATGTGATTTATATCACTTTTTACAGTTATTTCACTGGAAATTGCCTTGATCGGTGATTTTCTTATAATTTATTCATTTTTAAACTCGGAATTTGGAATTTTTTTGAAAGACGATAATAAAGTAATAAAAAAGTGCTCCAATAAAATCATCAAACTGTTGTTTAATATTCAATTGAGGTTGCCGACGAAATGGAGATATGAAATTTTAAAGATTTTAGGAATGAAACTTTGATGCGAATTACTGATTTACATATAACTAATGGACGTTTCATATGCACTTCATATTCAGTATGTATCGTGAATAATAAAACCGAATATATATTTTATATTACAGTTGTTTACCGGTCCTTTGTCGTATAAAATATTATTTTATTTTCCCAATATCAACTTTAGCGTCGGTCAATGCCTGATTTATAAAATCAACTCCATCGATTTTAATCCACACTGCTTCAAAGTTACACGTTTTAGATTACACAATAAAAATTTTCCATTGTATAATATTAAAGATCAACGTGTTGATCAGTTCACTCGAAAAAGAATCTCCGATGACCTTCTCCCCAACCATCAGTAGAGTTATCCCAATCTTCTGTCCACGTTCTACAATTAATCTGCGAACAAATCTCTATCTCGAAACGTTTTAATCCGAAAAAAAAAGAAGAAGAAAGATTTTTCAATATGTTCAACCAAGAGAGATATAGAAGGAAGAAAAAAAGAAAAAGATACGCGAGCGTGGCGCTAACGAGAAACGAGA